GTCTAAAAAAGCCACACTTTTGGGGGGTGGGGGGAAAGAGCCGCATGCAGCTTGTGAGCCACGGGTTGGCCACGGCTGTTCTAGAGCAAAGGTTTTTCAACCCGGGGGGTACAATCACCTGTCCCTTCCCTATTACTAGATAAAGGGAGCATTTGAGGGTCACAATTAAGGAAACAGTTGAGAAATGATGTTCTAGAGCAGGGCTACTTAACATGTGGCCAGTGGGCCGCATGTGGCCCACAGCCTGTTTGTTTGCAGTCCTGCAGTACAGTTTCAGTTTATGCGGGGCTCAACATGCTACCCACAGGTGGGATCCTTTTGAATATGGCCTCCACTGGGAACACGCTGCACAATGGCGAAGTGTCTCCCAGACAGGGTGAGCACTGAAAGATGCAAGCGGACGGGTTGGCTGAAACAGATGGGTATAGGGTGTCGGCATTTCTTGCTCTCAGGGAGGAGGTGCTGGGGCATTGTGGGAAGTGCTTTGTATTCATGTCCATCAGTGTGAAAGAAGCTATGTGCATATATTTGCATGTATATGCAACCATGCTTAAATTGCGGCCCTCAGCATGTGCTGTAAGTATCATTGTGGCCCCAGGGGCTTCCAAAGTTGAGTGGCCCTGTTCTAGAGAAATATGAATCCCAATGATACAAGACAAGTCTCAGGAAGTATAATGAATTGTAAGTTAGAAAAAAATATTTTCCTCCAATCAAATTTAACAGGAAAGCATTTGTGTTTTGTATATGCAAAATTTGATGCAAAGGGAAAAAAGTATTTTGGTACATACTTAAATATCTATTAGCCAGAGGCCTAACCTACTATATGCATATGGGGGCATATTCTTACCCCACTCTGATAAAAAAGCCAAATGCATTTAAAACCTAGCTCTGCATGGTGGTTGCCATCTAACGCTGACTTCAGTGGCAGTCAAGGAGGCTTATCATCATGTATTATCAGGCCATCAGTAAATTACATTTCCTCCTCAAAACAGGAAAAAAAATTAATGAAGATTCAAAATATGTTATAATGAAACAGAACTCAAGCCAGTTGACCTTAGGGTATATTACATAACTCTTCTATTTCCTTCAACAACTTCTGCCACAGACAGTGTGAATGTGAATATGAAAAGTATTTCAGGGCTGAGTTCATTTATTTTGATATGGTCCAAAAATTTTGGTATATACACTTGGGATTATAGTGGGAGGGAATGTATGATAAAATGAAAAAAAATCAACTGTGTTTTATTAAATAAAATTACAAGTCTATTACAAACATTGGAAGAAATGTTGTCCTCACTGAGGTCAATGGGAGTTTTGCCACTGATTTTCATGAGGCCAGATTTTCAACCAAAAGGTAATTACAGCATCTTTGCCATATTCTGCAACAGAAAAAGCAAAAGGTAATTACAGCATCTTTGCCATCTTTTTCTGTTGCAGAATATGACTAAGCCTATATTTATTACTGACTTTTAAAAATGAAAGACATAGTGATACAATTCTGTAGTCTAGATTATTTATTAGAAAACTCATTAGTTCAGAGGCTTATTTCATTTTGTCCAGTGCCAAAAACAATACCTGTACTTAAGTAAATAATTTCCAGACAAATCTATGTCAAGATGAAAGTGTGGCTGAGCACCCATATCAGTAACTTAAGAGAACAACAAAGATATAGAATAATTACTCACCAGCTTTATATGATATGGTATTGGTTTTTGCCACAGACTTTTTGTAACATAAGTATACTGCTGAGCCCCACTGTGGAAACAACACAAAAATCAACACACTCTTACTGATTTATCTGACAAGGTATAAAAAAAGAAATTATATACAGAGACAAACAACTGGTTTAGGGAAGGACTTCTGACAACTTCTGTAATCTTTCATAGAGTCATGTCCTAGGAACACAGAATTACCATATTAGATCAGGCTACCCCTCTGATACATATTAGATCAGACTCACGGTCCAGCTAATCCAGCATTCTATTTCTGACAGTGGCCAGCACCAGATGATTTAGAGAAAGGTGTAATAACCATACATGAGTACATGTGAGACAATTTGCCCCTCCTATTAGGTCTCAGCCTCTCTCATCATTAGAAATTGGCTTAAGTTACAAAGTAGGAGGTTCAATATCCCTTCCTAATTTTGTTTAGCATTAACTATGTCTTGTTACCCATATAAATATCTAATTCTTTTTGCTACATTCTTGGCTTCAATACTACTATTTTACTCACACTTACAGTCATGCTGATTTCAACTGGAACTACTCACATGAGTCAGTATAATAGCATGATTTGACCCATAAAGTAATAGATTTTTCTCTGTTAGCTTTTCCACTAATCATGCTGATGCCTAATCTTAACAAGTTCGCTCCACACGTAACCTATAATTTCACGCTCTGTAAAACATTTTTACCACAAATGTCATAAAATATATGACTTTTCAAACACTAGATCTCTTGTTGGTAGCGATTTAAGTCAAATAATTATAACTTTCCACTTAAAAGTAAATAAGTGTTTTCCTGCCCAACTGCTAAATAGGCATGAAAAATAAAGAAAATGTAAAGGCCTCAGAAATGAGAGAGTAAGGTCCACTAATGAATGCATGTACACCACAGAAAGTTCCTCCTTTTGAGGAGAAAAGGGAAGAAGCATGCAAGTTAGTTCACTGGACATTTAAGTGTCAACAACCAAAAGCTGACACTGTGGTTTTGGTACAACTAAGGAGCAATTTCTTAACATCTGTTCTTTAATAATTTTCAGTGTATAAAGCAACATCATACATTGCTTTTAAAACTCTGCTACCATTAAAAGTTATACCAATAATTACTTCAGTACAGAGATCAGAAAACATGTCTGATTTTTCAGGTTGTTTGTTTATTTTATGCATACAATAACATTTGATGTGCAGAGTCAATATTTTTTGCCTGTTTGTACTGGTATTTTCCCAAAGAGAAGAGAAGAGAAGCAAAACTGCATAATATTTACTTCCTCCCCCCCCCCCCCCCCCCCCCCCGAGAAAAAAAAAGAAATGTAGTCGTAAAACCACAGAGTGACTACTGTACTTTTTAAATTTGAAACTGACAGGATTTCATGTTGACCGTGTCATTTTATACAAAGTATGCATGTATTCCACCATTACTTCTTGACCCTACATGCTGATTGTTCACAATAAAAAACAAAATCATATTACACTCAAATTTTAGCAGTCATCTTTCCTTTTATATATTCATTGGTCCTTGTTTAAAGACAGTATTACTGTACCACCTATAGTATGGACACTGATCCTCTATTTCCTCAATAAGGAAACTGAAACTCATCTTCTCTAATAGGATGGGAAAGTGCTGTCTTACACAGATCTGTAGCTATCAGCTCTGTCAGAGTCAATTGTTTTTAAGTACTTCTTTACTGTCATACGAACATATAACATGTAGGCAACAGCAGGATCACAATGTGCAACAAGAGACATATTTAAAAAGAAAAAGCCTTTTAAAGCACATGAAACCCCTTATTTAGGTTTACCCAATCTGCATGCCCAAACATACATTTTCACATATGCAATTTTGGAGGCATAAATTTATATTCCATTTTTGAAAACGTGATTGCAGCATTCTGTCTTCATAGTAAAGAGCAAATACAGCATACAATGAAATCCAATGTGTCTGACTCTTACCAGGGGCAGATGACTGTTTTGCAGGGCCCAGGGCAGCATAATCTTGCGGGGCCCCCTTTGCCACAGCGCATGCGCAGTGACACAACGTGCATGCGCGGTGGCGCCACGGCACATGCGCGGGGCTTGAAGCACGGGGCTCGGGGCGGCCCCCCCGCTCGCCCTGTCCTATATCTGCCCCGACTCTTACTCACCTGCTGCAATGGTTTGGCACTTTTGAATACTGTACTATATAAGGGCTTGAGTCTACTCCCATTGAAGTGAATGACAAAATATGCACAGATGAGAGGAGGATGAAGTCCTGAACATCAACCTACATGAAGTCTCAGGGCTTGTCTACATGGCACAGCAAAATGTGCTAAAGGGGTGTGATTTATTAAGTCAACTAGCAAACTGCACTCTAATTGCATTGTGTATCCTACTGGCACACTCTAACAGCTCCTTAGTCCTGTCTGAAATCATAGAATTGGAAGGAACCTTGAGAGATCAAGTGCAGTCCCCTACACTCGAGGCAGAACCAAGCATCATCTAGACCATTCCTGACAGATGCTTGTTCAACCTGCTCTTAAAATCTCCAAATGATAGAGATTCCACAACCATCCTAGATAATTTATTCGTGTTTAGCCACCTTGACAATTAGGAAGTCTTTCTTAATGTGCAACCAAAACCTCACTTGCTTCAATTTAAGCCCATTGCTTCTCATCCTATCCTCACTAGTTAAGGAGGATAATTTGTCTCTCTCCACATATAAAACTCTTATAGATACTTGAAAGATGTTTTATGTCCCCTATCAGTCTTCTCTTTTCAAGATGAAACAACCCCAGCTTGTTCTGTCTTTCTCATCTTCCCTCATAGCTCATGTTTTCTAGACCTTTAATAATTTGTGTTGCTCTTCTCTGGAACTTTGCCAGTTTGTCCACATCTTTCCTGACCAGAACTAGACACAATACTCCAGTTGAGGCCTAAATCAGCAGAGCAGAGCAGAAGAATTACTTCTCATGTCTTGCTTACAACACTCCTGTTAATGCATCCCAGCATAATGGTTGCAATGATAGTGATTACACAGTTGACTCACAGCTAGCTTGTGATCCATTATGACCCCCAGATTCCTTTCCACAGTATTCCTTCCTAGGTAGTTTGTATGTGCGCAACTGATTGTTCCTTCCTAAATATCTGTTTACCTCAAACCATTTCTCCAGTTTGTCTAGATCATTTTGAATTACAATCTTATCCTCCAAGTGCTTTGGAGGATACCTCCCCAACTTGGTATTGTCCACAAACTTTACACAAGTGTACTCTTTATGTCACTGTCTAAGTCATTTATGAACAGAACTAGTCCTAAAACTAATCCTATAGAAATACAGCATAACTGTGAACCACTGATATCTACTCTCTGGGAATAATTATCCAACCAACTATGCACCCACATTATAGTAGCTCCATCTAGATTGTAGTTCCCTAGTTTGATAATGAGGTGGTCATGAGAGTCTGATATACCACGTATACTGCTTCCCCCTTATCCACAAGGCATGTTACCCTTTCAAAGAAAGCTATCAGGTTGGTTTGGCATGATTTGTTCTTGGCAAATCCATGCTAACTTTTACTTATCTTATTATCTTCTAGATGTTTGCAAATGGATTATTTGCTCCCTTGTCTTTCCTGGTATAGAAGTTAAGCTGGCTTGTCTGCAATTCCTGGGTTGTCCTTATTTCCTTTTTATAGATGGGCCCCTTTCTAGCGTTCTGGAATCTTTCCTATATTCCATTACTTTTCAAAGATAATAACTAATGGCTTAGCTATCTCCTTAGTCAGCTCCTTGAGTATTCTAGGATGCATTCCATCAGCCCCTGATGACTTGTAGACATCTAATATGTCTTAGTAATTTCTAACTTGCTCTTTACCTATTTTAGATTCTGAACCTACCCCATTTTCACCGGTATTCACCATGTTAGGGCATCTGATTACCGCCAACTTTCTTGGTGAACACGAAAACAAAACAAAAAAGTCATTAAGCACCTTTGCCATTTTCAGTTATTGTTTTTCTCTCGGCGTTGAGTCATAGGCCTACCCAGTCCTCAGTTTTCCTCTTGCTTCTAATCTTTTTGTAGACTGTTTTCTTGTTACCCTTTGTCTCTAGCTTGTTTGAGCTAATTCTGCCTCTACATACTTGTGCAATTTGTTTAGATCATTCAAATTATCCTGGTTAAGCCAGGATGGTTTCTTGTCATATTTCCTATCTTTCCTACATAGTGGAATAGTTTGCTCTTGCATACTTAATGTCTTTTTGAAAAACTGCCAGCTATCTTCAATTGTTTTCCTCTTAGTCTTGCTTCCCATGGGATATGACCTACCAACTCCCTTAGTTTGCTAAAGTCTGCCTTCTTGAAATTAACGGTCTCTATTTTGTTCTGTTATTCTGAAATAACTTTGCTGTGTAGACATACCTTTATTCCAGAATAATAAACTCTCATTTCATAAGGAACAACTCCTATTTCAAAATAGCTATTTTGAAATAAGATGTGTGGACGGTACAGCTGTGGTTATTTCAAAATAATTGGCCTCCAGGGCTTCTCTGTCTCTACCCCTCAAAAAAGGGAGTTACTCACCTTATGCAGTAATGACTGTTCTTCTAGATGTGTGTTCCTGTGGGTGCTCCACTCTAGGTGAAGGGTTGCCCTGAGCCGCAGATCAGAGCTTTGTACAGCAGTTTCCCGTGTTGAGCCACGCATGCCCAGGAGGAGTCTCGAGCCCTTCCCGCCTCCTGAGGAGCACGGCTCAACCCACTCCCTTTCAGTTCCTCGTCTCCGCCCGAGTAATTTCGACTCCGAGCAGAGGGGAGGTAGGGAGGGTCGTGGAGCACCCACGGGGACACGCATCTCGAAGAATACTCGTTACTGCACGAGGTTAGTAACTCCCTTTTCTTTGAGTAGTGTCCCCGTGGGTACTCCACTCTAGGTGACTACAAAGCAGTATTCAATGTAAGGCTGGAGGGAGCCGGAGTCACTGTTTGGCAGTGGTAGAGAGCACTGCTGTGGCAACTGCTGCGTCACTCTTGAGCTGTGGATAAATAGCATAGTGTTTAGCAAAA